AGGCCAGGAATCCCTATGGCTTAAGACCTTTGACACTACACACTTGGGAGAATTCAGCAACCCCTTCAGCAGATACATATTTGAACCTCCACTTGACAGCGTGGAGTCGGTGAGGAAGAATCAACTAACCTCTGAGGTCCTGTGACAGAAGCTGTGCAGTGGCAGCAAAAAGAAGTCTTCGAAAACCCGAGGGCAACTTTGACACTGAAAATTTGAAGCATCTAAACATGCCCCAGCAGGCCAGCAGGAGTCCCCGCGTGCAGCAGCGCTGAGGGGCAGCCCCTGCCTTGCTCTTTAAGCACAGCGTGGGGTTTCCTAGCAGTCCATGCGCCTTTTCAGATTTTTGCCCTTGCCCTGCAAACTCCACGAAGGCAGTATTGTGCCTCTCTTATCTTCAAGGAGCCTTATGCATAGTAGGCACATAGTTTATCTTTGCTGAATTAGTGCTTCTCTTTTGACAGGGCCAGAGTGAATATTTTTTAATTTGTTTGTTTGTTTTGTTTTTGAGACAGAGTTTTACTTTGTCATCCTCGGTAGGTAGAGTGCTGTGCGGTCACAGCTCATGACAAGCTTAAACTCTTGGGCTCACTGATCCCCTTGCCTCAGACGTCCAGGTAGCTGGGACTACAGGCACTCACAATGCCTGGCTAGTTTTTTCTATTTTTGGTAGACATGAAGTCTTGCTCTTTCTCAGGCTGGTCTCCAACTCCTGAGCTCAAGCAATCCACCTGCCTTAACCTCCCAGAGTGCTGGCGTTACAGGCAGGAGCCACCGTGGCCAGCCTCGAGAGTGAACATGTGTTGCATTGGGAGGCACCAGGGCTCCGTGTTATCCTGTCATCCATGGCGGGTCTCCTGGGAACTTCAGTCTAACTATGAACAGAGATTGCAAGTTGCTACTCGGCTATCTGATCTGTAATTTATCTTATCTCAGTGTTATCTGTAATTCATATGGGTCTGGTTTTGTCTTTGAAAATGGAAATTGAGTTTACTGAGACATGATCTTGACATGTGAAGTCAAAGTACAAACTTTCTGCAGTGTTTTTGCCTAGAATGTGCCAACTGGTGTCCAACGGTCAAGAAGAGTCATGGGCATTACCAAAGGGCTGGGTAGTATTTTGAAAAACCATTATAATGCCATGCTTGTTCCCCTGGCTACAGAGAGAGAGTTTGTAGAAAGAGGAGTAAAGATTTGATAAGAAGTTTAAATAGAAAACAGTCCTTTTTTTTTACTGGGATAGGGGGAAGAATGAAGTAGATTAGCTCATCCCAGGGCTGAGAAGATGTAAGAGTGTGAACAGAAGGTCGACCAGGATCATCAGCTGGTCAGCTGCATCACTGTGCTATCCCTTGTGTGTGGAGGGTTGTCATGCCATAGCACAGCTGAGTTACGTGGTACAACCGGTCACCTGCTGCGAGTGGGACAACAACACACATTCAAGGTGCAAAGGAAGACTGCTGGGGCTCTTTCTGCCCATGAAGAAACTCAGTGGCTGCCTGGAGAGGATCACAGTTGTAATATTAACCTCATTTGCAATCTTCCTACCCAGCAGGGTAAAAATACCTTTTAAAAAATTAAAAGAAAAAGAAAGCTTTCCAGAGAGCATTCTCAGAAGGTGGCCTTAAATACTCTGACTTCCATACCATATTCCTGGGCCAGATTGTTCTCAACCGTGTTGTCTGCTGGTCTCAATAGAAGAAGCCCGTCAGTGCTCAGTAGAGTCAGAAAGGCAGGAAGGGAGCCTTGCTTCACAGGCAGAAGCCCGAGGCAGAAAGGGGCCCAGGCAGCGCCATCTGCTCCTGGCTGCCCCAATTAGTAACTAGGAGGAGTTTTTCTCTGTCTGGGAGAGGCAGAGTAGAGTTGAAGAAAAGGTCATGTGTGTCTTCTGCCTGTTTGGTGGCTTCGCATGGCTGTACCTTTCTGTTTGCATCCTGGGTTCTATGATCAGGGCTGCTGTGCAGCAGGAGAACCCCAGAAAGCAGAGCTGGATGGAGAGAGACCAGCTTCTGGGGAGAGGCAACCTGAAGGCATGAGATGCCTGATGGATGTTCTAGGTTTTAAACTTGGGCTATTTCAGACTGTTGATAAACAAAAAAAAAAAATTTTTTTTTTGAGACGATCTCAAGCTGTCACCCTGGGTAGAGTAAGGTGGTGTCACAGCTCAGCAACCTCAAACTCTTGGGCTTAAGCAATTCTCTTGTCTTAGCCTCCTAAGTAGCTGGGACTACAGGTGCCCATCACAACATCCAACTGTTCTCTTTGTTGTTGTTGTTGTCATTGTTGTTTAGCAAGCCTGAGCTGGGTTCAAACCTTCCAGCCCCTGTGTATGTGGCTAGTGCCTTCACCACTGAGCTATGGGCTCATTTTTCTTTTTTTTTTTTTTTTAATGAAAAAAATTTTAAAGTGCTGGGACATGTTTCAGGAGATAAGATCTGTGCAATGGCTCAGAACAAAAATAGAGAATAGTATATACTTTTAGGAGCTGCTGTAATGGTTGCCAGGAAATAAAGATCAGATGCTTTGAGGGCTAAAGCCCTGCCTCTCCCCTGGAGAGCACACATTGCTCCCTGAAATCTACTGACCTAGACACATTTTCCATCATTTCTGCGGGATGTCCCAAGAGAAAAAGTAAATGAAACACAGAACAAGTCATTTGGTTCCTGAGGCAGGAGGATAACAAGTCATTGCTGTGGCTGCCGCTTCTGAGATGGACCTTGTGTCCCTTCCTTCCGCAGACACAGTGGGTAGGAAGACAGACCTGAGAAAGGGGCCTATCTCCCCACCCAATACATACAGTTAGAGCTTCAATTTAAATGAGAGGAAAGAGATGGTACTGAAACTGGGAAGAAACTTCTATAGAAAGCTTGGCAGGAGAGGGGCAGGAGGAAGAGGAAGGGAAGGGGCAGTTCTGTAAGTGCCGGGCCCTCTGGCCACACTCAGGAAAGCTCCTGGTCCTAAGATATGGTCTTCAAGTTCCTCCCTGTTTAATGTGGAAAACACATCACAGATAAAGGCCAGAGGGAAGACCGGAGGCCGCCTCAGACAACATAACCAGAGACCTCCAAGTTCAGGATTAATTTAGCTGTTTACTTCAATATATTAATGTCTCATCATCTTTCTCAAAAATAAAATCCCTTGGCCTGAGAAATGCTTACTTCTGGCCGATGAAAAGATGTGTGGTTATTTAAAAAGACTATCCAGTCCAGTTGAGGTCCCAAGGAAGCGGCGAGCAGGGAGAGGCTAGACAGCAGCATACAAGGTGAGCAGAGTGAGGTTTTATTGAGATCACTTATCAGAAATCCATATTCTTCTGAGTGGTGTTTGCATCTTTGAACCTGGACAGGGAGGGGCATGGGACCCAATCACTGGATAGGGTAGAGCCAGGGATATCTCCCCCCCTTACACATAACATAAACATATCCAGCCATAAAGAGCTGATTTATCTCTAGTTGCTGTAGATGTTTTGGCAGTAATCACTCTTTTAAAATTTTCATTTTCTACTTTACAGAAAAAAAGAATACAATGAACAGGAAATTCTAATTACTTTTGTCCCCTGGGGTTCATGTCTAATCTTTGCCAGTATTTATATCCATAGTTATTTGTGTGAAGCTGCTACTTTGTACTCTCATTTTTCACTCACTGTGTCTTTGTCTACAGTATATAGTTAAGTTACAGTCACTGAGAGCCCGAAACAGGAGTGAGTCATGTATTTGCCATTTTTATTAGCAACCAATTAGTTGTCCTCCTAATGCAGGTTTTAGAGAGTTAGCCTCAGATCTTTGCAGTTATGAATAGTCCATCCTTGGCCATCTTTTCATAGAAAGGTATAATATGATCCTGGCTAAGCAAAAACATGTATCAACTCCCAAACTATTTGAAGAGTTTGAAAAGCTCAGGCCCAGAAGAAGCAAAGTAAGCAGGAAGGTGTCGGCGTCTTATAGCTTAATAACAGGCCATAAGTTTAAAGTCCAAAAGGGCTCAGATTTCTTCTACTCTATGTTTGACGTCTCAGATGGTAATCCAGACAAGAGCCACGGTTACTTCCCTGCACCTCAGCCTACCCACAGTAGTGAGATGAAGGTGCAGCAGCCCTGGCTCAGTCTCCCCGCCCCCACAGAGGTGCATGGGAATAGAGACACAAGCCACACCAGCTTTGGTAGCCTGCAGATCAGTTACCTCCTCCTTGGCTCTCCTAGATGCACAGTGACTCTGCTTGTCCACTGTAGCTGAAGAACAAGGGACTGAACTACAGGAGTTGCTGGGTGGGGGTGGGGGGTGGCAAGAGGAATGAATGATGAGCAGCAGTGCCATCTAAGGCCCAGTCGGACTTGCAGAGGTGTAATGGGAACGCAGAAAGGCCAAGTACAGATGCACTGGATACAACCAGAGGCAGCTGGAAGCTTCGCAGACCTGGGTTAAAGGAAGAGTACCAAAGTCCACAGCTAAGGAGCTAAGAGTGCCTCACCAAAGGTGGCCTTTTTACTTCTCTCCTTTACTCTTTTCTTTTTAAAATTGTATATACAGTTTATATAAAATATAATGTAGGGTATTCAGCTTAAATGATGGAGAGGCATATTCCTACCTACCTATGGGCAGAAGAAACTCCTGCTTTATTTGTTACTGTATTCCCAGCATAACATCCAGGACAAAGAGAGGGCTCTGTGAAGCTTTGGGGTAAGCCTCTTCTTACGTTCTTCTGAGTTACTGGTGAACTACAGAGTGAGATTCTGGTCCTTCAAAGTGAAGGAAGTGCTTAAATAGAGCCTGTGTATACCTTGGTTGTTTTCTTTTCAAATTAACTTGATTGTGATATGACATCTTGTATAGGTTGAGAACTGAGTGTCTTTTATTGATTCTTACATAGCAAATAGGATGTCTCCCATTTAACGGATGCACTGGTAATCCCATTAACTAATGTAGTTTTAGATGTGTGAGAAGTTCATACCAAAGACGAGCAAAATGCCTGATTCCTCTCTCCATGTGCCTTTCCAACAGAACTCTCAATCCCATCAGTATAAAGCTCTGAGGTGATCCTCAGATCTGAGCACCAAGAACTCAGTTCTGGTCCTTGGCAGATGGGCATCAGTATCATTCACTAACCAGCAGGATGGAGACCACGCCCCTTAATTCTCAGAGGGAGGTATCAGCCTATAAGGATGGAGAAGATTGTCAAGAAAATGGAGTGCTACAGAAGGGTGTCCCAGCCCCAGGGGATAAAGCAGAATCCAGCCAAATATCCAATGGGTACTCAGCGGTTCCGAGCCCTGGTGCAGATGATACGCGGCACTCTATCCCAGCTGCTGCCGCCACCACCACTCTCGTGGCTGAGGTCCATCAAGGGGAGCGAGAGACCTGGAGCAAAAAAGTGGATTTCCTCCTCTCGGTCATTGGCTATGCTGTGGACCTGGGCAACGTCTGGCGCTTTCCCTACATATGTTACCAGAACGGAGGGGGTCAGTATCAGGGCCCATGAGTGGAGGCTGTGACCCAGGGGTGGGCTGTAGTCCCTTTTGAGAGGCCGGAGATAGGTCATGTCCTTTCTGTCTTAACTGATAAGAATCTGGGAGCAAGACTGCTTATACTTTCAGGTTTGTGTAAAAGACAGATCTCTAGGAAACCAAAAGCTTAAGTCACCAAAGTCTGACCTCACAGATGTTCAGCATCATTGATGCTTCGTTTGTTGAGGGGCCTCCTTCCCATCCTGCACTATCCAGGCTCTGCTCTCCACCAGCCAGAAGTGGGGGGGCAGCCATCAGCGCTGTGCTGCCTTTCCTTCACTCCTGCTGGCAGGTTCCATTCGGAAGAATCCAGAGGGTTAAATCTGTGTAGGGAAAAATTGGGAGGTGGCTCTAGAGTCCCAGACCCTTCTGGGCCTTTGGACTTGTGTCAATTTAGGTCTTAAGTTACCATTCTGGGCACATCCCAAAGCTGGACCCAACCACAGCATGACAGTAATGCCAAGCCCAAACCAGGCATGGACATACCTTGTATCTCCTAAGAAAGCATTAGGTTTTTTAGGCCAGAGATCCTATCTTGTTCCTTCTTATATCCCTACAGGCTTTAGAGTAGTTGATATGTAGATTATAAAAAAATAGTAGCTGACCGTAGCATGACTATAGCATGTAAACCTGGGGGAAGAGTAGAGCAGGGGAGAGAAGTGGGTAGGTTATGGGCCTCTGTGTTGACATTGGACTTGTTAGCAGAATAGGAAAAGGACAAGGGTATCAAATTAGTCAATATTTATTTTGATGGGAGCTCTGGCAACCAATTTGGGAGGGCAATTGGAAAGGAAATTGGGGGACAATTTATTCATGTCGCCCTCATTCTCATTTCTGTGGCCGGCCACAAAGTTGCCTGGATTTGCTGCTCTTAAGGTTTTCTGTCCAAAAGCAGTTCCAGGGCCTGGGAGGAGCGGAAGTCATAACCACCTTATCTCCAGGCAGACAGGGGACTCACCTTTAGCCAGAGTGTTATATAGGGGGTGGGGTCACCGGTGAGCATTATCCTACACTCATTCCAAAGCATCAAGCAAACTCTTTGAACAGAGGCCACCATGAAAATACAACATGGTTTTTATTCTCAAGCCAGGTTTATCCAGTGTGATTATAAATTACATAGACCTTTCTGAGTTGCGCTGAGTTCAGATTTCTAGGTTCAAAGCATTTTATGATAGGGAACGTTATCAGGGAAAATCACGGCTGACCCACCCTTTAGGGTAAAACCCAGGTTGCAGGTGAGCATTCCCAGCTTGGCATTTCTAAACTCAGCCTCAGCCATGAGATCCAGGAGACACCAGCATACTCCAGCTACACAATAGCCCTGTGCTTTCTTGTTCTGTGAAAAACGACCCTTCTCTGCTACCTCGCAAATATGGGTTGTGAGGAATCATTCTGGCTCAGTGGAATTATGGAAATATAGCCAAATGTCTATAATCAAGTGTCTGGAGCCATAGTAATACCATTGAACAAAGATAGCATAATTCAGTACCTCCAAGATGGTTGCAGCTGTTGTTACTGATTGTCACACCTGATCCATTCCAAGAGTCCCAAATACTAGTTGCATCAGAATCATCAAGGGAGCTTGAAAAAAAATTTTGTGTTGCACAAAATCTGCATACCTGGAGATTCTGCTTGAGAAGGACTGGGGTGGATCCAGGAATCTAGGTGTCAGATTTTAAGCTCACCAGTGATAGAATGGCTGGGTTTGGGAACCTCAGCTCTCCTCAACCTGTCATATGATAGAGAAGACATTGGGGCTCAGAAAGGGAAAGTAGTCCAGGGTTCTCCAGGCTATAAAAAGAGGATGTGGGCCTAGTGCCTTCTCTGTCCACTCCCAAACCTGGCTTTCTTTCCATTGACTCTGTCGGCCTCCTCTGAAACGTTTGAGCTGTGGAACTCTATCTACTAGTCCTGGCAAAGACTAAACCAGGGAGCACAGGGTTAAGTTCGCTCAGCACAGAGTGACTTTGTGACGCTCTGCGTGAAGGGTCTGTTGGGCTGTCCTGGGATAGATGTGGGAAGGGACTGAAATTATCTTTCGTCTGCCTCAGGGGCGTTCCTCCTCCCCTACACCATCATGGCGATTTTTGGGGGGATCCCACTCTTTTACATGGAGCTCGCACTGGGGCAGTACCACCGAAATGGATGTATTTCAATATGGAGGAAAATCTGCCCAATTTTCAAAGGTAACTGAAAGCTTTGGGTGGTTGGGTGAGTGGGGGCCTCCAAGGAAGTAGTGATTTCCATCTGTGGGTGGGAGCTGGAGACTTTCATCTGGAATCAGTTAGGCCTTACATATCCTTGGAAGATAACTTGAGTAATAGTTTTCTGACTGCTCAAGTAGTGTGAAATTGTTAAAAGCAGAATCAAGGGCAATTAAAAGTAAGCTAAATTTAAAAATTTTAAAGCATTATCAGCACATATACACATATTTTCTAAAACATGTAACCTTATCAATCCTTGTGGGTAATTTTGCTGTGTTGCTGCTTTTCCCAACATCTAGAGTCCCTAAAGTCATTGGGGAATGACATGGAAGGCAATGCCTACCCTTCCCTTCCCCTGGGCTGCGGGACTTCCCAAGGCCTAGTTTTAGCCTTTCACTGTTGGGCCGCTCTGTCAACTTGGCCTCTCTGTCTCACCTGCTGCCCAGGGATTGGCTACGCCATCTGCATCATTGCCTTCTACATTGCCTCCTACTACAACACCATCATGGCCTGGGCACTGTACTACCTCATCTCCTCCTTCACGGACCAGCTGCCCTGGACCAGCTGCCAGAACTCCTGGAACACTGGTAATTGCACCAACTATTTCTCCGAGGGCAACATCACCTGGACACTCCATTCCACTTCCCCTGCTGAAGAGTTTTACACGTAAGTTCATGTGAGTGAGGGGGTAGTCTGTTAAAAAGAAAATTTGCCCCGTTTTCATTGGAAGAGGGCAAGAATCAAGGGCTTTCCACCCTACTCTTGGTGGATTTCTGAGTAATGAAGCTGTCAGGGCTAGAGGAGAAAATGTGAGTGACAGAGTGGCAGGGCCAGAAGTTGTACCTCAAGGGCTCCATAATCTGGCCCTTGTATACCTCCCTACACCTTTCCGGTGTGTCAAGCCAGATTGCCCAAGCAGATCCTTATATTCACATTCCAAAACTATTTCCCTACATCAAAACCGCCCTTCTCTCTGGGTCTTCTTCTCAGCCAGCTATCATGGGAGCAAAACATCCTACTAGTTTAAAACCATTCAAATAATTTCTGGTTTAAATGCGTTGACTTCTTAAGCGGGAATCTATCTACCTTTTGGAAGAAGATACTTGGAGAAGGTAGTATAATGCTAGAATTTCAGGCAACGAGAGCCCAAGGAGACCCATTTTTGGGGGGGACATGGCCCAGTATCCACACATACACATCCTCATGTACCTGAAAGCCATGATGTTGGTTGAAGGGGTTCAGGTCCCAGCCAGCAAATGAGAGAGCAGGAAGTCTACCTTTGGCTGAGCACTCCTCCCGGGCGGTGGGCTGAATGTGCAGCTTACTCCTTCAGGATGGGCTGGGCCAATCCCAGCTCTTTCTGGGGTTCAGTGGCCACTTGGTCCTGGCAGGGCAGTTCCATTTTTCCCTGGGCACCCTTCTACGGGTATCGCAGATTGTGTGCCCAGGTCACTGTCCAGATCCTCTCACAGGCCTTTCTTCCTTTACTCCAGGCGCCACGTCCTGCAGATCCACCGGTCTAAGGGACTCCAGGACCTGGGGGGCATCAGCTGGCAGCTTGCCCTGTGCATCATGCTGATCTTCACTATCATCTACTTCAGCATCTGGAAAGGCGTCAAAACATCTGGCAAGGTGAGGAAGACTCTGGCTGCTGATCCAGGCCTGCCAACGGCCTCACAGAGTCTCAAACACAGAACCCAGTAGCTGAGACAGTTAGTGGTCAGAGAACCATCACTGTTTCTTCAAAGCAAACATGTTCTATGATACTCAATTCTGCCATCACTAAATCTGTTAGAAAATTCTAGAGATGGGCCAATTTCAAGTACTCTCACACAATTTTTCCCCAAAATTTCTTTAACCCATTGGTAGTATCACAATTAATAATAATGGCAACAATTTATTGGAAACTCATCATGGAGCATGGTCAGTGCTTTATATGCACTGGCCAACTCTGTTGTTTCCTGGAGAGGTGTCCAACCTGCAGGATGCTGATTTTGTAAGGACTTTTTTTCGTTTGTTTGTTTATCTGTGTTGTCAAATATCATTAAAAGTATGCATGGACATTTTCTTTTTTTCTTTTTTCTTTCTATTTTTTTTTTTTTTTGCTAATCAGCTTTCATTAATTTTGTGTATTTACCGTGTGGCCTAAGACAACTCTTAACTCTTCCATTGTGTGTCAGGAAAGAAGGAAGCTTGGTACTCCTGTATATTTCCCCTTCTACAGATGCAGAGCAGACTTACAGGCAGTTAGGAATGGCCACGCTGAATCAGATCCCTATCTGTATGATTCTGAAGGCTGTGATCTTTCTGTCACACCACCTTGCCTCCTAAAATGACAGAAAAAAGAGATGGATCTCCTTTCTTAAGGTTTTCAAGAAGAAAAAACATGGATATCCACCTATCTTCTTTCTCTGCCCCTTCTAGAATGTTGTGGTGATAACCTGTGTTTCCGTCCTCCTTCCTTACAGGTGGTGTGGGTGACAGCCACCTTCCCTTACATCATCCTCTCTGTCCTGCTGGTGAGGGGGGCCACCCTCCCTGGAGCCTGGAGGGGTGTACTCTTCTACTTGAAACCCAACTGGCAGAAACTCCTAGAGACAGGGGTAAGATGAAAGAAGTAGTGTGCACCCATCTGCCATTTTACTAAAGG